TCATGCATAGGCTTTGGCTTTTAAAAAACGTATTACTCTTTCAAAGTAAATCCTTTGGAAAATCAGAGCGAGACTAACAGCAAGAGGAGAGGGAGCCAGGAAAGCTGAACAGAGGAGCAGGGAGGCCACGGGCTCCCTTCCTGTACTACCTCACGCTCCTTTGCCGGGGAAATTTCTCCCCACAGAGGAGCAGAGAGGCTTCGGGAGAGCACACGGGGCCTTCGACCAGACACCTGCCGAGACCCGTCGTTCCACGCCGGCGAACAGCATCGATAAAAGGAAGTAAAATGGTTAAAGATTTACAAGCTCCATCGTCAGAATACTGCAGCTGTCCTGCAAGCAGAAAGAGGACAGAATTTCTGAGTGCACAGCATGGAGAGAAAAATTCCCCTTGCCAAAATGGGAATTAAGGCTGCGGAATGAGAGTGAGTGGAGGGTTGGAGGGTAAAGAGAAACATCTGAAATGGAAAGTTGTGTTACTAAAAACAGGAAAAAAACAAGAAAATTCGTCAAAAAGCCAAAAACTTCCAAACGGGAGAATTACAGCGAGGGTTTCCTGCTGCCGGAGCCGAGGGGTGGCGGGGTGCAGCCCTCACACACCGCTGAGTTCCTGGGGCGAATCGCTGCCATTCGAGGTGCTGCAGCAAGGCTGGTGTGACGTGGGCTCGCTGAGCTGTGTCAGTCACCAAGTCCCTGCCATGAGCCACCGCACAGCTACGCTTGGCCTTGCAGGCCCTCAGCAGCCTCCTGTACCGCGCTGCGCCGCCCGCATGCTGCTCCGCTCCGCGCGGCTGCTCCGCAGGGCCCGCGCTTCCCGCTGCTTTGGGCTGCCCCACTTCGCAGACCTCGAAAAGGGCCTCAAGTCCCGCTGTGCTCTTTCAGACCCACAACACGAGCTATCGCAGAATGTAACATTCAAACCCAAGTGGCATTAGTGCTATGCCCGGTGCTTCTGAGCAGCTGCCGCCGCGCACAGCGGTGTGTGGGCCCTGCCTCACCCTGGTCCACCTGGGGCTGCACAACCTGCTCCCCTTGAGCCAAACCCTGTGGCACCCCCAGCACACCCAGCGTTCACGTTTGCTTCTGTTTGGGGCATGTCAGCCTTTCTGCTCCGCGCCGCTCAAAATGGCTCATCCACCCCCAGGAGAGGGGGCAGAGCACGCAGTGGTTCTGGATGGGGCAGGATGGCGCAAGCAGGCACCCGGAGAGCAATCCCCAGCACTCCGCCATGCCCTGGGCAATGCGGACCACTCCGTGTGCCTCCCGCGTGAGCGCAGCACAGCTCCGCATGCCCCGGCTTGCAAGGGAGGCCAGGAGAACTCCTACCTTCCCACCACCCACAGCAATACTGCAGCAGCCCAGCCTGGCGGGGAAGAACAGATGCAGACTTGGGTGCCTTGATGGACAGACTCCAAACTCCAGTCACATAGCTTCTGAACGCACAAAGTGGGCAGGCTAGCCAAACCTACAACAGTTATTTTGGGTGACATTTCCCTGAAGGAAGAGGATGCACAATACTCATTACCTGCACCCTTGCAGCCACAACCTCCTGCCCAGGGTCAGAGAAGTGCACTGACCAGAACTCTGCTGGCTCCCCTGGGAACTTCACAGAACTCCAGAAAGACCAAGCCCCACCAGAATAAGAAATAAAACCACCATATTCTTCCCTTTTACTTTTCTCCCTTTCTTCCTATACCAAGCCCATCTCTTCCCAAGCTGAAATCATCACAGTTCATGGCTGAACTGTGACAGTATTTAATATTATGAAGGTGCTAGTGAGAAGTGTTAAAGCTCAAACCCTGCTCCCTTTGAGGGGCTTTTGGCCCTCACTGGATGCAGAGTGCCAGTTTCTTCTCTGCAGGTGAAGCATGTGCTGAAGGACACCAGCACTGGGCGTTCAGGGTTCTCCTCAGGTGTTGGCCTTTCTCTCATCACAGCCACCAAAAAGAAGAGGACATGAGTCACCAAGAACAGCCTTAACAAAGGGAAGGCTTTTTCATTTATACATCTTAAAGCACTGGTTTACGCTTGTTTGAACAAACATGTAGGAGAAAAGCTCTATGACCAGGCAGAAACATGTCAAAGAGTTGAACACTCGACCAAGGGGACTTTTGTGCCATTTATGGGAGTACCCAGATAAAGCAACCACAATTACTCAGACCACCGTGACACCACAAACTCTCCATCAGTCCTTCAGGTCACCTTTAAAATATGCTCTGATGTTACCCTACCACGACCCAAGAGGAAGGCAACTAGCTATGCTGCTTAGCCCCAGGCCCTGCCAAAGCGAGAGGGGCTCACCTGCTGTCTCAGAACCCACCAACTATGTTTGGAGGCTTAAAACAAAGCAGCCGTCTTGAAGAAAGCAGTTTTGGTGCCTGACAGTCTACAGTATAGTCCAATTTTAGTGTTGCACGTTTGCTATGCACCGTATTTCCAAAACAGGGACAGTTGAGAATGCAAAATGCTTTCTGGTGCAGTGGGATAGGAGGTTTACTCAGCAGAAAGGCATTACCTTTACTTTGGGGAAGATATTTTCCTCTCCTGTCTTCCATGTGAATCCAGGATAGGCAGAATATTTACTGGGAAAGACCATTTATTTTGCATGTTGCCTCAGGGCTTCCAGAGCATCTCCCTCCTGCACGTTACCTAAGGATGGCCCGACAGGCTCCTCCAGTGGCCAGCAGCTCAGTGAGACTGGCAGCTCAGTGCATGGGTGAAAAAGACTCACTTGCAACTCCCAACAGATTGTTCTGCACCAGAGTTTCTCATGCTCTGTCTCTCCGAAACAACCTGTTTTCCATGGTACAACCCTACAGGACGTGGAAGAAAAGGCACATTGGGAGCTCACTGCTCAGCTAAACAAAACACATGCCCCAAGGCACTGATTTATTTTTACTCTCACAGCCACTGAGCGGTATTTCTCGATGATGTTCTCATTTGCTGAACCTCTGTGAAATCCTTGCAGGCTGGAAATTATTTCGAATCATGTATCCAAGACAACAAGGGTAATTCTTACCCAGCATATTAAGCAAACAGACACCAACTGAGCTCCAATGCTTTGAAGATTACCTGGAGTTCAGTATAAGAACCCTTTTACATCTTCCTGAAAGGAGATTTCAGCATTTATTGCCTTCGCCCTCCGGCTCATCTTTCTGTTTCAGGAGATCAGTGATCCACTGGCAGCAGCCCAGCAGAGCACAACCCTTCCAGTGGGTGCTTCTTCCCAGAACAGCCTCCAACACCATCAGAGCTCATCTATGCAAAATGAGTCCTTAGGAAACATCCCTGCTCCAAGTCTGGGAGATGAGCATTGCATGACGCTGGTCACCAGTATGAGTGACCCTCACAAGTATGAGCACCACGACTCGGTCTGCCAACCTCTAACCACCCAGTCCAGCCATTAGAAAGCACATTTATAAACTCTTATAGCATAGAAGGAGGAATATGAAAACACTTTTCTTCCTGGCTTCCCTCCTGTGGAGCTATTACTGGCTTTTGTAGGCTGTCCTTCCAAGGAGAGCAATGACATTTGTGAGCTTTATTAGAATACTCGAAGGGAAAGAAAAATAAAAGACAGCAGAACTCATTTTAGCCTCTCCTGCAGAACTGCAGAGAGAGGGCTCAGCCTCCGGAGAAGTGATGCAAGACAAGCCTGGAAAGCCTTCTGGTGGAGGAACGCAGCATCCCGGAGCTATTAAAGCCCTGTTCACAGGAGATCCCCTAAGGGACAAAGGAACTTGCTCAGGGTGACATTATAAGCCCATTCACTCGCTGAAGAACAGGAGTCAGACGACCGGCTCATCAGAAACTCTGCACATGGCTGCGAGGTCTGATGGCCTGTTGTCAAATATAAGTTATGCAAGTGAGAGCTATAAGTCACTCCATGCGGTGGACCTGTTCTTCTCACTGATGTGAGAAAGACAAGTTGCCCAACACCTAACTTATCACTTGGAAGCTCAAAAGGATAGTATTAACCTCTTATCAAGAAGTCACAAGAACAAAGCAACAAATTATAGGCAACTAATTATAAAAAAGTATATATATTTACATATAAATATAAGCAGAGTAGGCTGGAAGGGAAGGGAATCCTTTTGCAAGTAAAAATTTTTGTGATAGAAAAAGATTTTGGGGTACCATGACACAAGAAGCAGATACCTAAAGGGAAAATCAGAAAGGGTGGGGAAAAAAAAAATGGAAAAAGAAAAGGACCCAGGAGGCCCTTTGCTCTGAAGGAAACTGCAGCAGCCATCGGCTCCAGGCTGCAAGGCACAGAAGAGCAGGAGCACAGTCAGCCACAGGACAGACAGCAAGAGCCCCAGTTGCAGACAACAAACAGGTCAGTGTAACAGCAGCCTCCGTCCTAGCTGGGAGGACAGCTAAGGCCCGTGTGTTGCAATGTGGTCCTGTGCTAAGGAATCCAGAAGGAAACAGAGGCCACACTTCCTTCCCCACGCCGGAGATTAATGGGGAAATCCGCGCTCTCCTCTGCCGTCTACTGGCAGAACAGTGACAAGTGCCAATGCCTGATGGCTTCCCTGGGCCCTGGGGGCCAGCTCCCAGCGGGTACATCTCAAACCTGGAGGACTAATGTTCTTTAGTCCTCCAGGACTAAAGGACTCATGTTCTTTAGTCTCAAACCCCAGTGCCAAGATGTGCCCGACACAGCAGCACCTCTCCCACATCACTAGCATTTCACCATAAAGGGAACCTCCTCCTTTCAGCCAGGGCATCATGCTCTGGCATCCTGCAAGCTAAGAGAGCACTAGGAGCGATGGGATTTCATTTTTAACGTAATTTTAACTTAAGCATCGTAAAATGCTTGCTGCAAGCTGTCTGGGCCATTCACCCACAGATGAAAGAATTGGCCTTTACAAAGGGTTGAGCATCCCCAAGCCCTGTCGCAGTCAACGCTCCTCCCCAGCAGCCCTTCCCTCCACGCTCCAGCCTCTCCCGGAGCACAGCCAGCACCACAGGCATTCCCAGCGCTCAATACTTGCCTCAAACGTGACAAAGTCATCAAACTCATCAGGACAGGCCGAGGCTTCTTCCTCAGGGGTATATCCCATATCATACAACTGGCTGTCAGGATCTGCAGAGGAAAATAGAGAGAGAGAATCACCATGAGGAAATCTGCATCCTCCAATAAAAGGCAATTTTGGAGCCAAAGAAGCAGAAGGACAAGAATCGCCTTTTGCACGCACCGGTGCCTTCGGCGTTCAGAAAGGACCTCCGTTTCCAGGCATCCTAACCCGACCAAGGTGGGGAGGCAGTTTGGAGGCTGTTCCCTGGCAGACATCCGAGGAGACCCTTTCCAGCTCAGACGGGGCCAGCACCTGGGTTCTTCCCTATCTTCTCACCACGCACCGGCTCTGCCATGGTCTCTGCTTCGTTCCCCCCGATTCCTTCCCTATCGCTCTCTCCTGTATCCTCTTACTCTTCTCCCAGAAGGCTTTAATCCTGCTGTGGGCAGGGAATACATTAGTTCTATGTGCGACAGCCAACTACCATGGGAACAGCAGGGAGAGCAGGCTGCACCGAAGCTTTTATCATTCACCGTTCCTCCTGCGACCAGCTGCATCAGGAGCCACCCGCACAGGAGGGGGGGAAATAGGAGGCTTTCAAGGAGATTTCTTTAAAAAATGACTGCCTCTCACCCCCAAACACACATCCGCAGCAGAGCAGAGTTCCTCCGAGCCCATACGCTGAGGAAGGGAACGTCAGCTCCCCCGGCTCCCTCAAGCAACGGCTAATGCCCGATCCAGCACACGACCTAGATCCCAGCCTGCACACACCAAATCAAGATCAGATGCTGCAGTCCCAAAATAAATAGCGGGCTCGAACCCGCATGCCTTGGAGCTGCGTGCATTGCGGCACTAGGTCCGGGTGATGTAGATAAACTTGGCCAGGCAGAGGGAGTCATTATGTCAGCGCTCCCAGGGAAGCTCTGCGCCCACGCAGCGTTTTGGGAGGGCCAGGCTTTCCTTTTGCGCTTGATAGGGGCAGATGATGAGAAGAGCTAAAGCCCTGTCTGCCTTCAGCGCCCGTCAGGCCAGCGGCTTCCCAGCAGGCTGGCAGCACAGCCGACCCGAAGCGCTTCCAGGCTGCAGTCCAAAGCCAAGGGGCACATAAGTCACGTTAAGCTTTGCTGCAGTGGAGCAGCCCAGGCACCCAGAGGGGATCAGACACAAGCACTTCCAAAGGGCATGTTCCTTATACAGTCACAGCAGGGACTCACACTGCTCCTGCTTCCTCCCATCCAGCTCCAAGCACCAAGGGGCATTTTTAATTAATGGGTGATTGGTGCACAGGGCAGAGCAAGAAGGCAGGCTTGCAGTAGCATCCCTCCCACCGCCCTCTTCCCCCAGAACACACACCACCCCAAACACCCTCCTCAGCGCTTCTTGCACGTGGCCACTAAATGCAAACACAGTCAAGGCTCCAGGAGATGCTGCAGCCACCACCTTGATGCATCTCCCCAGCCCCTTCCGGGTTGTAAAGCTGCAGGAGCAGGGCAAAGATGAACAGATGGCATCCTCAAACAACACCTTCCCTGACCTGGATACGCAGCTCTCTGTGGTGCGACGATAAATCAGAACCAGACATAAGTAGAATTACTTTTCCAGAAACCAGTATACGACAACATGCTCTGCAGCAAGTACGTGGCAGGGTCACAGCTTTGGTGAATGAAAGGTGTTCTTGTTTGCAGTTCATGACTTCAACATCCCTGCTGCTTCCCTCGCTCATAGCACTGGCCAAGCAGTGCTGCTACGAGCTCTTTTTCCAACTCTGGGGTCTTTTGGCTCATAACCCTGAGCAAGGCAGTGATAGAGCATGTGAAAAAGCCAGGGCACAAGCACACCGTTTTGGATAAGCCGGCCCCAGAGCAGCTCCCCTGCCAGCAGTTTGAGCATGGTAGGTATTTTCAGACTGTGTTCTCCCTCCTCACAAACATCTCTCCATCCCGACCTCCGCAGGCCGAGCTGCTGGGCCTTGCCTGGAGTGACACCTGCTCAGCCAAGCTGGACAGAGCTCACTGCAGCCAAACCGATTTGCCATTAGGGATTCCAGTCTCTAGTCTGACATTAGAGCCTCCGTGGTGACAGCAGGAAACCCAGCCCTGTCCCACTGGATACAGAGACCTGCTGGCTGCAAAGCCACAGGAACTCTGAGATTCACACTCAAGAGAGGAGCCTTTCCCCACCTCTTTGGGAAAGCCCAGAAGAGGATCTATGTCACGTCCCCAGAACAGACGGGACAACTGCACTTCCCACAGGTGACGGAGGCTGCTAAGCAGAGGACTAACGTGCTCCTGTAACAGGAATGTCCAAGCACCATTCGGAGGCCCCAGTCGGATCAGCAGACAGGGATCCCCTCTGCATGCACAGCTCCTGTGCCCCAGCATATTCTTGCCCCTGCCAAAAGCATCACTCTCACAAGGGCCCTGATTTTCCAGACACAGATCAAGCTACTTATTCACATCATTCCCTCCAAAGGGAGCTGCAAAGGCAGAATTCGCCATCAAAGAAAGACTTCCAGTTTGTTTGAAAGCTGTGTGCAGCCAACACAAGCAGCTCACAGCTCCTACCCAACAGCAACCATCTCCATTGTAATACTTGCCTAAATCAAGTGTTTCCTGCGCTGCTCCTGGAGCATTCCCAGGCCTTCGGCTGGTTCTTGGTGGAGGGGAGAATGGAATGGCTGATTGCTCCACCTGCTTGCACAGAGCAGGCTGAGGAGGGGGTCTCGCTTCACACACCATCTACTTGCAGAGCAAGCTATGAACTTCAAGGAGATCCCTTTCCCAGGTCTCAGGGTTAGAGGCACACACTTGCCCATGGCCTGTTTGGCAGAAGCTGGGAACGCCGTTTCCACATCCCCAAGCTCCCAAATCAGAACAACTCTGAACGAAACAAAGGTTGACTTTTCTACTTGATCCATTCCCTCCCCCTCCTAAAAAGCCATATGGTGCTTTGTATATAGGGAGAGTTGCCATGGAGAGCTTGCCTGCCTCTCTTCAGCACAATAGGCTGCATTAAGCTTTCAAATTCCTGTCCAAGGGAGCCAAAAAAGCCCAGGAGAACTTAGCTGCTCCATTGGTGCTTCACACAAATGAAAAACACCGTGTTCTCAATGTAGAAAGAGTCATGCAAGGGGAGCAGGGCCAGCTTGGATGCTGCTCCTCTACGCCGTTAACAGCAGAGCAGGATGGACACAGGGTACCAGCGATGGCATCACATAACCCTGCTCCAACCATCGTGACACTTGGCAAGCAGAAAACGTGCAAATTCACCCTGCTCTCTCGCTCTGTTTTCAAACCCAAAGCCCAGCTGATCTCTCCCTCACATCCCCTTCTCCGTGCATGCTTTCATCTCCTAAGAGATCCTCCTACCCCTGTGTTCACCTGAGCTCCTCCTCAACGGTGATGTGCTTAGGACATCTGAAGCCACCTCTTCCCAGCACCACTGAAAACCCTTGCTTTCCCCTAAAGATTCAGATGCCATGAGCTTTGAGGTGTGCCACCTCCCCCCAAGCAGCGCTTGCCCCTGTGTTTGCTTCCCCCGTGTGAGTGTCCATGACCAACCTCTCCCACATGTTCAGTTCTGTATCAGTCACTCCCACTGATCTTGTTAAACAGCTGAGCAGAGCTAAAATTCTAAAACCCAAAAATCAGGCTCCAAGAGGCTTCACAGGGAGCTTTACTACCCAATAACCCTACAGAGGGTCTATATGCTGCATATTACATCTTTTTTTTCTCCACAGATTAGTTGCACTGAACTGTTTGGCTGGCGTGTGCGAGCAGGGTACCAGGCATTTAGATAAAGCAGTTGCTGCTGCAATCATTTAACTAAGGTGATGCTGCTGATACAGAACATACAGAAGTAATGGCTGTAGCCAATAAGACTAAGAACATTTAATGTATCATTTAGCAAAGCTAAAGTGAATCTGGAAGAAGCAGGGAAAGCAGATTAAATGTGGAGAGGGATATTCTTGCAGTGCTCCCATGGCCATGGGAATGGTGCATGCACCACTCCAACCGCCAGGCCCCACAAACCAGCTGAGTGTACTTGGAACAAGACCTCCCAGCAAGCTGTCTTGAACTTTTAGCCATAAAAAAAGAAAAACCACATACACAGCCACAACGACACACCCGACCGTCCTATCCATACCTGTGAGCAATGCAGCAAGCCTTCAACTCGTGGTCGGTTTCTGTGTCTTTGCTACAATAGCAGGATCTTTTACAGACTCTAATCCGACTGTCCCTTTGCCTGGTGGCACCCGTGCCTGCCCTGGCATTCTCTGCATGATCACATTGTCCCATAGCACAGGCTCTCTCCTGCAAACCCTCTGTTTCTGCCCACACTAAATCTGTGTTTTGGCTCCTCCTCCACGGTCTTGCCTCGCAATAAGCCCACCACAACACGCAGCTCCTGGGTTTTCTTTCTGCTTGCCACCTCCCTTACGATGACAGCCACCGTCCACAGCTTTCCTGCTGCTTGAACTCACTCTATGGGCACCAGTCTGCACATTTTTTTAGGCATCATCTGTACGCTATCATAACCTCATCAAATTGTCCTCTCTAGCATCCCTTCAACATCCTTCCCTGCACCTACATGCAACTAAACTTCTCGACCTTGAGAAGTCTCCTGCTGCCCAACAGGCACCCTTCAAACCCCACTGAAAGGACTATTCCCCAGAAGTCCACTGCATCAACCACATCATCACTCGGGAGACGGAGATTCATTTTCCTGCAAATTCTTGGCTTGACCAGTGCAGCTCTGACCAGCCAGCCACAGCAGCCCTCTTTTCTCCCCACCACATATTTGATTCTGCTTTCCTCAGTGCTGCTCTGCTTATGGAAGGGGACCCCCAGGATTATGGCACTGAATTGTAACCTACATCTCCCTCCACTCTTAAGACACCCTATTTTTTTCCCCAGAATTTTAAAAGATATCGTCCAAACACTGTCATGTACAGCTTGTGACATGGACCATCTCAGTTGGAGCACATCTGTGTGTTCTCCACTGACAGCATATTGGCTGTCCTGTCGTCTGCCCAGACCTCAAGCCAAGGGCAACCTCTGTCTGGTAT